AAAGCACCTCTCCTCTTCCAGAAAGAGTAAAGAGACTCTACAAATAGGCGTCTCTCATATGAGGCTTTAACCTTGGTTCCTCTATGTACAAGGCTATATACACATGACAATCCATTGATACAGCAACAACTTCACCACCATCAACAACCACAATGGTGGTGAAAGAACTAGAAAAGATTCTAAAATGCAAAGATATACAACTCAGCACAAAAGTTAGAATCATACAAGCCATTGTATTCTCCATTACCATGTATGGATGTGAGAGCTGGACAGTTAAGAAAGATGATACCAAGAAAATCAATGCATTTGAGATGTGGTGTTGGAAAAGAGTGTTGAGGATCCTGTGGACAGCCAAAAAGACAAACAAATGTGTCCTAGAACTGATCAAGCTGGAAGCCTCCCTGGAAGCTAAGATAATCAAACCGAGACTGTCGTACTCTGGACACATCATGAGAAGGGAGGACTCTTTAGGAAAAAAACAATAATGCTGGGAAAGGTGGAGGGAAGTAGGAAGAGAGGAAGGCCACTTGCAAGATGGATGGACCTTATTAAGGAGGTTGCAGGATTAAGCAGAGTAGTGAAGGACAGAGGGTCTTGGAGATGTCTCATCCCTAGGCTCGCCATGAGTCAAGATTGACTCGAGTGCAGTTAACAACAAACAAAAAAGTATAATACAAATGTCAAAGACAGAAATCTCAGCCAGCTTTAAAAAAATGAAAAAGGAGGGCAAGGTGGCTCTTTATCTTGTGATAACAACCCTAAGTATATCAGATACAGTTGTGATGAGGGGGTTTTCCCCACTGAAAGAAATCACAGGAAATGTTTTAAAAACATGCCTCTGTGTTGTAATTCAACCTTGATGTATCAAATGGCATGTTTGTGGGGTGGTTTGTGTGTGGCCAAACGAAGTGCCATTTGCTGGAGATCCTTTCTCAGGTTGCCACTGTGATTTGCCTTGGAATCTTTTAAGCACAGCAAAGGAGCAAGGAGGTTTACTCCAGTGGTGGCGTCTGTCAGGCCTCTGGGATCCTTTGAAGATCTCAATTTGTTAGGGTGGATGTTTATCTTCTGTGAAAGTTTTACAGCAGCCTCATCGTGAAATGAAAGAGAGAGAAAAGGAAGATGACAAAATCCCTTAGCTGTTCTTTTGAGAGAAGGATTGTGCCAGAGCTTCTTAAGGAATGTAATGCAACCCAGCCAATGCACTTTTCTTTATTTGATCAGCCTCTAATACCTAACAGTTCTGTAAGTAAACATTTATAGATCAAATCAAAAGCCTGCAAAAGGAAGCACTCTGGATAGATTAGAAGCTAAACTGATCTAAATTAGAAGAGATGCAGAGATAACCTTGCCTGGCTAAAAAGCATATACTATCAGTTGCACACAGATAATTAAATGAATGAGCCCCTTTCTATTGAACAACTGATGTGTGATTGATAAACTTAATTAATAATTAACTTTTTAATTAAATATCAATTTAAAACAAGTGTGGTAATATGCCATTCGCATTTAATTTAGCTCTCTTTTCTTCGTTAAAGGACCATCATTAGGTTTACAGGTATCTCTTTAAAATGCTGCTGTGTATGCCATGGAGGGAATGAATGTGTCCACTGGGCATCTGCCAAAGATGGAAGTGATAAAACAAGAGCAAGCAAAGACAAAGACAACCTGTAACTTCAGAGAAACAATGGAAGTTCTGAATGGACAGCATTTTGTTGTTGATTTTGGATGCCAACAAAGCTGCTCCAAAATGGACTTCAGCACAGTGACTTCTTAACCATGTTTCAGCACAAACTGGGGGCTGCAATCTCTTCTGAACAGCTGAGGCCCAGAGGATTCATACCCTCCAACTGTCCCAATTTGGCAGGGACAGTTCCAGTTTGATTCTCTCTTGTCCTACCTTTACAGCTCCTTTTAAAATCCTCCTCCCACCTTCCCTCTTTGTCCTCAGTATACTTCAGTAGCTGCAAACTGAGTTCAAAGTGTAAAGAAACCTATCTTGAACTCAGTTAACTCAGCAGTGAAGAGAAAAGAAGGCTTCTCTGTAAGCTCAGCCAAAGCAAACTGCTGCAGCCCCTCTTATCTCATGTGTTCTTCCTCCTTAATAATGTTTGCCATCTTGATCACACACAGAAGGAGCCCTGGTGGTGCAGTGGTTAAAATGCTGGTACTGCAGACACAACATTGTAAGTTTGATCCTAGAGGAGGGCTCCATGGTCCACTCAGTCTTCCATCTTTTTGTAGGTCAGTAAGATGAGTACCCAGCTTGACTTACACATTGTAAACCACTTAGGGAGTGCTAGTCCACTGATAAGTGGTATAGAAATGTATTTGCTATTGCTCTTGATGTTGTTTGGCCACATCTACCCCTGTGGTCATCTGTGAAATGTTGGAGGGTATGCATATTTTGGGCTGCCCTAAAATGCAAAATTGGTATGAAGACATAGTTTTACCCTGTCACTATAACCAAAGCCTGGGAACAGAAGGGAATACTTTCTTGAAATGTGGCAGTCAAAACAGTACTGGCATTGTTTCTTTCTTCAGGCCAGATTAGACATTTTAGAGTAGTCATTCATATGTCTGCTCATGTGTAAAGCAGAGGCTGGATGGGGATACTCTCTTCCTCAACTCCCATAGTAGAATATGAACATGACACCTGATACCATTTGAACTATGTGATACTCCATCTTCATTAGTGGGGCCACATCATCTTAAGTATAAAAGTAACACAGAAGTTACAGTTACGCTATAAAACAGGTGAGGTTATCTCTTGTTAAGTTACAACTGTAATATGGTTATCTTTTTTAAAAAAAATCAAGGAAAGGAATAAATTGTATTTTGTTAGTTGCACAGAATAGAGTCATGACAGTTAAAGTGGTATCAACCTGCATTATTTCTGCAGTGCAGCTACATACTTAGGAGGGTTGCAGACTGCCAGAAATAGGGCAAATTGAGTCCACTTTTAGAGTTAGGGTTAGGGTTAGGGAATCATGGGAACTGTAGTTTATTGTGGCATGAGAGCTCTCTGACAGAGAAGGCTCAATGTCTCCGAAAAAAATTCCCATGATTCCCTAGCACTAACCCTAACCCTAAAAGTGGACTCAATTTGCACTATTTCTGGCAGTCTGCAACCCCCCTTAGTGTTGAAATCTAATGCTGAATTAGATGCACCGCATCCTGTTGAAATATCTCAGTTTAGGTGTATCTTACCATGCAGGATCAGACTATGAAGATTATTGCATCATGATATAAAGCAGCTTACCTGAGCTGGTTTAAAATTAAAAGCAGCCAGGATCCTAATATTATCAGACGCCTTTAGCTGCCGAAATTGCTGCCTGGGTGCAGCCCGGCTCCATCACCACTCAGAGGGGTACTTTGGCGGACATTTTTTCAAGCCGGAAAACTCCTGGCTTCGTAAAGAGGCACGAGGAGCGCCCCTTTGAGCGGTGATGGAGCTGGGCTGCACTTGGATGGCTATTTCAGCAGCTAAATGCGTCTGATAATATTAGGTTGCCACCCGCTTGTAATTTTAAGCCGGCTCAAGTAAGCCGCTTTATATCATGATGCGATAGTCTACTAAGTGGTTGTTCTGCTGCATTTATACATTTTAAGTGCCTTGGTGTAGTGTGAAAATATATCTGATTTGACCATTAGAGTTTTCCTTCCCCATGAATATCTATAATATGTTGGACTGTAGATGTACATCTGCACTTCACTTACTCTTAAAATGCTAAAGATTAATAAAAATTTATGTGTTTCAATTAAAGAAGATTTCACAAGGATCTACAAGAAGTAGATAGCTACACAGACCAGTCAGTGAATCAAGGGTGGAGAATTCTTAATCAGAAATGTTTTCAGAGCCTCTGAGCATAACAGAGCATGTTAATGAACAGCTGAATCACTGCAACTTTGATGCATTCCCATTCCTAATCAAGAAGGGTAGTTTGCAAAGACCAGTGCTAGGAAACATGCTTTGTTGGCAGGACCAAGAATCCCTGCTATCCTCAATTTAAATGATCAGGTATTTAACAAGCTCACTATTCTCTGCAACAGTCTTACCTTCAATTTATAATTAAAAGGGGATAAGTAAACAGAAAAAGAGGAGTATAGAAAGCAAAATATGGGCAGTGGGGAGAGAGAAAGAGGGAGAAACCAAGAGAGATGGAAATGAGTGAGTGGGGAAAGCTTTTCACTTCATTATCCAAGTACATAGGACTGTATGAACAAAATAAGATTATCCCACCGCTGAAATAACCTGATTTACCTCTTCCAAATTGAAGCCTAATTTGGGAGGCAGCCAGGTCATATCACAAGGATTTTGCTATCGAAGCCACTGGGCAAATTCAGCCCAGCTGCAGCTCAGGTCCCCAGCATGCTTCAGCGGCCATTTTTTGAAGTCAGAAAGCTCCTGGTTTCGAAATAAGGCTGCCGAAGTGCTGGACTTGCCCAGTGGCTTTGGCGGCAAAATCCTTGTGATAGGATCCATCTGTCTCCCGAATTAAACTTCAATTCGGAAGAGGTAAACCAAGTTATTTCAGTGGTGGGATAATCTCGTAAGATTATGAAGCAATTGCTAATATTACAATAATATACAATAGCAAGCAAATAATATGTTTTCATACTATAACATAATATACAGTCCAGTCAAGAACATAATCAATAGAAGAGAAGTTGCTGAAGAGAATCTGTCACACACTCATTTGTTGTGTGCCTTCAAGTCATTTATGACTACGGCAACCCTAAGGCTATCATGGTGGCTCAGTGGTTAAATGCCTTTACTGCAGTCACTCACTTATAAACCACAAGGTTATGAGTTCAATACTAACCAGGGCTCAGGCTTGACTCAGGCCTGCATCCTTCCAAGGTCACTAAAATGAGTACCCAACTGTTGGGGGGCAACGAGTTTACAGTTGTAAACCGCTTAGACACTGCATAACATGGTATGAAGTGGTATATAAATGAAGCTGCTTTGCTTTTGTTTTGCATCACGGGGTTTCTATGGCCAAGTGGGGATTCGAACCCTGCTCTCCAGAGTCACAGTCGAATGTCCAAACCACTACACCATACTGGCTCTCCTACACATCCATACAAGATTCCAACCACTTTTCTTCTGTTAGGATAAATGCTCTTCAGGGGAATTTACAATTAGCTCAAATTACGAGAGGGCACTCCTAACTTATGCCCAGGGATTTTCACCAAATGTATACAGAAGGATGGCTATTGGTTAAGGAAGGCGCTGAGACGTAGAACTACAATTCCCAAATATTTATTAACAATATTAGCATCAACACACACACACACTTGCACACTAAAGGAGAAAAGGAGGAAGACGGGGATGGCTCAGAGAGAAAGCGGGTCCAGGGGGAAGGGATGGAAAAGTTACCTACGCCCGAAGTTCCTGTGTCTTCGGATCCACGGTGATGGTTGTGTTCGATGGATGGCACGACCGGCAGGGATGAAGGTCGTGGGCACACTTTAGGGCAGCAGAAGGACAGAGATTCCAGCATGCACCCAAAAATGGCAGCACTGAGTGGACCTGGGATGGTCCTTATATACCCAAAACCTCTCCTCTAGGCTATTCTATAACAATCACACAAAGGCCATGATGGGATTATCTATTGTGGGTCTTCCTGTCTAGCTAGATTGGACAAAAGGGGTTGGTCTCAGAGCTATTGAGGTGTGGGGAGTTCAGACAAAGCAGGATATTTGTTTCCTAGTTACCTTGATGGTCTTAGGCAGAGCCAATCT